GAATATCATCGTGGATGGTAGATAACATGCAGCCGCATTTCACTTCTGTCACCACTTCAGAAGCTTCGGTAAGTTTTTTTTATTGCTCACTTGATGAGTCAATATTCATCTACTTATTTTATAGAATATTCACCTATTTTCTTCTTATTCAATATTCTACATTTCTATGTCTATCGACATCATCAATAGTGTAAGTCTGCTGTTAGTTCTCCTTCATCTTGTTATTCAATGCTGAGAGAATATTAGATGCAACACATTGTTGTACTACAGTGCTGAAAATTCTACACAGTACTAAATGTACTCTATGAAGTGAAGTTATTACTATCATTAATAGTAATAATAATAATAATAACAATAATGACGAGACTTCAAGTGAACAAAGATAAGACTGAGGTACTGGGATTAACACTACTCAAAAGTGCCCACACCAATTATTAATTACGAGAGAGGTTTGAAAGAGGTCATCTGATTCACCTATCTAAGAAGTAATAGTTTCAGCTACAAACAGTCGGAACAGAAGAGGATACCAAAGACAGAATCCAAAATTGGTGACATATAACTCCATCACTCTAAAATCAAGTTGGAAATTCTTCACCATAACTGAGCTATGGTTCTTCTTCTGACCAAAATGAATGATGGCACAATCGAAAGATCTATATTTAGAAAGTCCTCATGGACAGGACAGTACATGCATTTCAAGAGCTTTGTTCCAATCGAATACAAAAAGAACTTAGTCAGAACACTGTTCAATAGAGCACGGAAAATTTGTTCTGACAGTACTGTTGAACATGAAATAAAATCTTTGAAGGATATTTTATGTAAGAATGGATATCCTGAGAAGTTCATTAATAAATACTCTAAAGAAACTACCCCTTGCAAAACAATTCAGACAGTTCCAAAGAAACCTGTCTATATCAATTTGCCATTCAAAGGAGTTGACGTACAGGAAGTAGTGAAATGAAGACTTGACAAAGCCATCAAGAGAATTTATTATGCTGCAAAACTTGTTATCCTCAACACCACCAAGCGAGTGCTTCAACAATCTGGGAAAGACCAGTCGCCAATCCTCGACACTTCAAACTGCATATATCAATTCGAGTGTGTTTGTGGCAGCAAATACATAGGTCGTACGGAAAGGCGATTATCTACTCGCATGATGGAGCATTTGCCAAAATGGTTGAAAACAGCTGAGTGCAAAGTGCCGAAATCCTCAATAACAAAACATCTTGTGGATCACGGACATGATGTCGACGCGGTCAAGTCATTCACCATTGTCAGCAAACAAAGAAACAAGAAGGTGCTTGCAATTGCAGAGGCTTGTGCAATTCTAATTTACAAATCAGCTCTCTGTATACAAAAGGAGATGGTCGTCACTCTGAATCTACTATGGTAATACGTTTTGCTTATTATTCTCTACTTGTTATTACTATTATTCTACCTCTTCTTATTATTGTTATTATTATTATTATTATCATCATCATTATTTTTATTCTTGATTTATTTAAAACCGTGCTTTATCCGTAAGATTATCTTAACTCACTTCAACACTATTAAAATTGTTATTATAACTATTACTAGTGATATTAGTCCGTTTGCAATTCTCGTTATATTCCCTAATGACTAATTGTTTATCTAAGTGATGTGTAATTGAAGCGTTATGCAATTTATCTTAATTTTGATCTCTCATACTCTCTCTGTCCCCCTTATCTATTTGAACATGACCTGTAAAACATTCGCAAGTGTCTTTCTGCATGACTAATTCAATGTAGAATATTTCCTTATCAGTCTTATATCTCCCAATGTAATTTCAAAAGTATTTATATATCTGTGTATGTAGAGTATTGAGCAGCTGACGAGTTCTACCGAAATTTGATGAATTCATTAAATCATCCTGCTTTATTAACCTGCTTTCTTGCTTGTTTTAAATTCGTATCGGGAAATAAATGTTTTCAATAACTGAGCTAATCAACAAGATTCGCAATTTAAACACCAATGTAAAGTCAGTCGATTCTTCTACACTTTTGTCATAATATTGACACGCGTGTCACAACATGCACTTTGAACAGCCAACTGAAGACTCTACTCAAGAGCTGCCTTCTCTGATCCCGTAATGAAGACGAGATGGTCGATGGAAATAGATGGAAACGAGAAATCTCGGAGACGAACTAATCCAGAACCTATGGGACAACTCATGTATGGAAGTAAATGGAGATGGGTTGGACACAGGCTGGGGAGACTGTTGAGTGTCATATCTGATGTCAGGTGGTCGCTCTAGTGGAAGGTGAATGGAAGAGGACGAGTTGGGCGTGTGTTCTAGGGTGACATGTAGGAGATTGTATGAGGATGAGATGAGAGCGTATGTCCAGTGTAGGATCTTGGTGGATTAGAGTGCAAAGAACATTGTGAGGTGGAGATGGGCTATTTAACCCTTATGTTCCATGCGTAACCCATGGGGTCAGTAATATATATATATATATATATATATTGATATTGATTGGTAAAGTTGTCCACAGTATCTCTAACTATTCTCAACGCCTTTCATGCAAAATTAGTGCTGTGTATCAACTTTAAATAACCATCTCTATCTACTGTCAAAAGCTAGAAGTCCCGGTTTAAATCGAGAAGGTACTGTTCACATAGACACAGCAGATGAAAGCGAAGGAAGAGAAACATTCAGATGATATAGTGCTAGATTGTAAATGAAGTAAACAAACATTCTCTTAATGAAGATATGGTCAGGTTGAAGGTTGATAAGAAAGGAACTAGATCTTCTTTAGTTCTTAACTGGTCAAGAGTTGGATAATGGCTGTACGAACTTCTTTTCTATGCATAGTTCGGAATTAATAGTTGGGGACTACCTGTCTTCTCAGGTCTATATAGTAGACGAGTACGGAGTCCACTAAAAAGGTTGGTGGGGATACTGTGAATCACTTTGAATGGTCTCGTCTTCTCCACTAAATGACCACTACCAACTACCATCTACGGATGGTTTTTGTCTGTTTTTTGCCAGTCCACACTGGGAGATGTTCAATGACACGTTGACTGAGCTATCTAGTAGCTACCTGTCTAGCCCAACATAACTGTCTCTTTAGGAGCAGTTGAATTGATAAATACACATAGATGTGGTAAAATTACCTAGCTTATCCTCCATTTGAGTCATAATCATTGGTCAACTAGAGGATGGCAAACGCTGGTTTTCTTCCTAAAATGTCCTGAAAGTACAACTGGTTTAGTCTCTGGAACAAAATTCCACTTGGATAGTCCCCGTTAAACTGTAACATGACAAATAACCGTTTCTTCTATCCCATCATCATCATCATCATCTCTGGATTCCTATCTAATTTTTTCATATGTTTCATTGTGAAACTAGCCGGGTGATTCATCTTCGTCAAGTAAACATGAACATATTGAAACTCCTTTTGTGAATGGTCAACTGTACATGCCTTTCTTGCTCTTCGTGTAAGGAGGTCAACCACATTTCTCGTCGTTGGTAAACCTGGCTTATAAGGCCAATGAGACCAGCATTAGGCATGTGCAACTGACCAATATGGCTGGCATACACACCTGAACCACTGCAACTAGGAGTGGCTACACATGTCCTGAGGGATACCTTGGAATTTCAAAAAAAAGGTTATATTGTGCTCAGGCGGCGAGAAGTCAGGAGGATGTTGAACCACAAATGCGAAAAACTCTAGAAGATCTGGATTTTGCGGACGATATCACAGAAACTCGAAGACCAAAAGGCAGACGAAAACAAACAAACAAACAAACTGGCTGAAGAGGCTGGCAGGGAAGACAGGAGTCTGTAGATGAACATAGAGAGGACGGAGGTGATGAAGACAACCAACCAACCAACAGCACCAATCCCCATCAACGGGAGAGATTTTTACAGAGGTTACCTCCTTCTCACTTATCTCACCAGGAAGCATTGTTTCAACTACAGGCAGGCAGCAGGGACGGATGAAGATGTTGAAGCCAGTTAGAATCGAATAGGCAAGATAAGCCTTCATCAACACTAGCAACCAGTTGTGAAACCATAATTCTTCTATTCGGCTCAGAAACTTGTACTGCGTTTCACAAAAACAATTTCCAACAGGCTATTTTGTAGAATTTCATCAACAGCTGCCTTGGCCAACTTCATGCTGAAGATCAAATGGACAGAAAAAAATAAGTAGCGAGAAACTGTAGGAACAAATCAAACAAGAGTTGATCATTCAACAAATATGTAGGAGAAAACAGAGATATATTGATCAGGCATACGTTGAGCCAGGCTATTGGCTGAGTGGAATCCCGACGGGAAGCAATTAGTACGGCGGCCTAGGGTGATTAAGGAGGCGATGAGAGACTTCGGCCATCCGTGATCAAAGCTAAACTGGACGGTAGAAGATAGGACAAAGTGGAGATGTGTTGTTGAAGCTTTATCTATGCTTCACTCGGAAGCCAAGGGAATAATCGTAAAAATAACCATATCAAAGAAATAATGCCGACAAATTATAACAGTCACTTACTGATTGCGTTGCACACATACGACGTGTATTAATTGTTTTTTTTTTCATTTTGAAGTTAGCAATTAATTGTGATCACACTGAGCCTTATAAGTTTTTTGACTCATCACTTCTACTGTCTCAACACTTTTTAAACAGTATGTCTATATATGTGTGTGTGTGTGTTGGTGTGTGGTTTTCTGCTGTTTGTTTTGTTCTACTAAAGTATTAGTGTTCATATGATCAATCAATAGTCAGTAATCTTAAATTTATTGTGACTTTAGTGCTGACAATCAGAATAGTTATAAAGCAGGAATAATGAATGTAACATCGCAGTAACAGCACAGAAGCTGTGCAATCACTACGCAAGCCTCCATACACGCGCATGTATCACAAATAAACTACACGTCTGTCTACACGTCTATTCACATATACATTAGGATAGAGATGAGTGACAGGTACTAGGTATATATATATATATATATATATATATATATATATATATATATATATATATATATATATATATATATATATATAATAACGATTAAATATTTGACACTGATTTGACGTATACACATCTGCTCATTTCTGTGACTTCTCTGTATCGCTTCACTGTTGTTAGGAAGAATACGATTTACACCCAACTATGGCAGAATTTGACAAGAAGCAAATTTTCACTACACTCAGCTTAGTGCTACTTGTATGCCTCACTGCCACAGCAATCGGTGAAGATCGTACTCTGTCGTGTAAGTTTAAACTTGAAGTTACAAACACACAAAAAAAATGTGCAATTTGTTTTACTCTATATAAATAGTTTGTTTTTGTTTTTGTTTTGTTTTGTATTTGTTGTTATTTTTACGAATTATCTAAATTGTTAAGAATGTTGAAGATCCAGTAGTTATTCAATTCATATTCGTATAGTCCAGAGATTCTAACTTTGAACCATCATGAGTTTAATTTCTGGACAAATAGACAAAGTTTAATCAGTGAGAGATGTTAGCACGGATGAAAATGCAATTTGTGCAGTAAACTGCCTTCTCACAATTGATACTGTAGTTATTTATTCTCAGTAAACTAGCAATATATTGCAAAGAACAAAAGGAAAACTTTAATCGAAGAAATAATTTACGAAGTTTTGTGGATATAAACAGTCTTTGGGGGTAAGGGGTGGGGGATAGGGATGGCATAAGAACATATAGCAAATCAATCTTCTATACATATACGTACATTATCCTAACCACTTTAGTCCACATCTATTCGACCTGGTATCGCACACTCCTAGCACTTCCATGCCATACTTTCTTATTTATTTTGCCCAACTGAATAGCCTTGCCAGCTGCGTACATTGTACGAATAATTCCACGTCCTTCTCACCATGTCCCTATCGGATGGCAGTTCGAAGGACTGACTGGCTTCCCGAAGACTATCATCAGTCTGAAGAAGTGTCATTACATCTCTCTGATTCCAGGGGAAAATAAGCTTGGTTATTATAATGTTTTTAATATTTTTACTCTTGTGCTTTGAAGTGTTTGTGTAGGAGTTTGATTGATTTTCCGGAGTAGGGTGGTCAGCCTCACTCCCAAATTTCTTTCTCTTTACCCTAACTAACAACCGGTTAGAAAACTAGCGAGCTAGTAAACTGGGGAACAATGATAATAATAATAATAATAATAAATCCAATTAATCAGTTTCAGTTCAGTCCAGGAATTTCCACTCGTTGAACTAGGCGCATCGAATTGTGATTACGCCTAGTTGCACCTAGGTAGGTAGGTGTATACTTTTGTGAATAGTCAGAAGACAGAAAAAATCAGTTCTCCTTTAAGATTCTCACCCCATATTTGACTGTTTAACAAAATACAAAAGGGTAACACTCATCTGAATATCAGTTTTTTTTTAACGAATTATCGGTAATTTGAGTGCCTATGATGAAACGCCAGACCTCCATAGGTATCTAGTCTGAGAAAATCGTTACAGCCGAAAATTGATTTTACTCAGTCTAAAAGAAAAAACGCGAAATTTCAGTTTTCTTTTCCGCTTCAATCACTCTCCGTACATCTCTCCGTATACAGAGTGGTGTGTGTACCATATTGTGGGTGTCAGTGTAGTACTCTTCATCTGTCTTAAATTTGCTGCACATGTGTCAAAAACGCTTCACACGTTACAATGAATTAAAGAAGGCAGTAAGTTCAACGTGGATTACTGCATTCTCCTGCGATCATGGTCGTATATTTTGACCGGTCCATTGAAACACTACATTATCCACACTGGAAAAGGTAGATGGGGCCACATGAATAAAAATTTCTTTTAAAAATTTGCGATATGTCAAATAATCAATCTAAAACAAGCAAGAAAGCAGGTTAATAAAGCAGGATGATTTAATGATGGATTCATCAAATTTCGGTAGAACTCGTCAGCTGCTGAATACTCTACATACACGGTATATATATACTTTTGAAATTACATTGGGAGATATAAGACTGATAAGGAAATATTCTACACTGAATTAGTCATACAGAAAGACAGGTGAGAATGTTTTCCAGGTCATGTTCAAATAGATAAGGCGAGAGAGAGTATGAGAGATCAAAATTAAGATAAATTGCATTACGCTTCAATTACATCACTTAGATAAACAATTAGTCATTAGGGAATATAACGAGATTTGTAAACAGACCAATATCAATAGTAATAGTTATAATAACGATTTTAATAGTGTTGAAGTGAGTTAAGATAATCTTACGGATAAAGCACGGTTTTAAATAAATCAAGAATAAAAATAATGATGATGATAATAATAATAATAACAATAATAATTAGAGGTAGAATAATAGTAATAACAAGTAGAGAATAATAAGCAAAACGTATTACCATAGTAGATTCAGAGTGACGACCATCTCCTTTTGTATACAGAGAGCTGGTTTGTAAATTAGAATTGCACAAGCCTCTGCAATTGCAAGCACCTTCTTGTTTCTTTGTTTGCTGACAATGGTGAATGACTTGACCGCGTCGACATCATGTCCGTAATCCACAAGATGTTTTGTTATTGAGGATTTCGGCACTTTGCACTCAGCTGTTTTCAACCATTTTGGCAAATGCTCCATCATGCGAGTAGATAATCGCCTTTCCGTACGACCTATGTATTTGCTGCCACAAACACACTCGAATTGATATATGCAGTTTGAAGTGTCGAGGATTGGCGACTGGTCTTTCCCAGATTGTTGAAGCACTCGCTTGGTGGTGTTGAGTATAACAAGTTTCGCAGCATAATAAGTTCTCTTGATGGCTTTGTCGAGTCTTCATTTCACTACTTCCTGTACGTTACGCTTTATCAGTAAGATTATCTTAACTCACTTCAACACTATTAAAATCGTTATTATAACTATTACTATTGATATTGGTCTGTTTACAAATCTCGTTATATTCCCTAATGACTAATTGTTTATCTAAGTGATGTAATTGAAGCGTAATGCAATTTATCTTAATTTTGATCTCTCATACTCTCTCTCGCCTTATCTATTTGAACATGACCTGGAAAACATTCTCACCTGTCTTTCTGCATGACTAATTCAATGTAGAATATTTCCTTATCAGTCTTATATCTCCCAATGTAATTTCAAAAGTATTTATATATCCGTGTATGTAGAGTATTCAGCAGCTGACGAGTTCTACCGAAATTTGATGAATCCATCATTAAATCATCCTGCTTTATTAACCTGCTTTCTTGCTTGTTTTAAATTCCTATCGGGAAATAAATATTTTCAAATAATCAATCACCTGCTTATATAAAGATAATTTTTTTGGGCCTCTAGCATACAACTTCTTCACACAGGTTCTACTTAACTCAGCCAAGCTTGTAATTCTATTTTGATTTTTGATTTTCGTCTAGTGAACATTTTGCATTTGTGCAAAAAAAAAATATTATTCATTTTATTCTTTTAATTTCGTCGCGAATTAGGTATCAGAGTGATTTTGTTATGCCTAATGTGCGGAACATCTTCAAGTAAGATGTGCACGTGGTCGGTCAGTGGATTCTACCCCACTGTGTGTACTCAGTGAAAGTTAAATTATTATTTAGTAAGAAGAAGAACAGAACCATTTGCTTTATTCCATGATAAATGGTGTGGATATCTTGGTGTTCAGTACAAGAGCAACACTGACAATAACAACTTTCTGGGCATTAACACCACACAAAATGTGCACACACACAATAAAAAGGTCCAATCTGTGTAGAATAATTAATTAATATATTGTCAGCCAAAATTATAACTTTAATAAAATACTGTCAGAACAAAATATTTAGAGTGAATAATTGTGGTTTCAATAAATTCCTCCCTCTTCAGGCTCTACAATTATAAATCCAGTAATTTAATTTAAGCATACAATAGCCAGTTAGCAAAAGGCGAATTAGAATCATATCAGAAAGTGTGTACTGTGTGGAACAAGTATAAGATGGGATGGTGGAACAGTAGTCAGTTTTTTTTTAATATGCATGGTCAATGAGAACATGGGACAAAATGAGATGATGTAATTTAAGCTGATATATGTGTAAATCTTGGGCACTGTGGTGGTAGTAAGTAATTCCATATTAGTTTGTTTATTAGATGTTTCACACAGTGAAACAGTATTGCTATATACTGGATGACGTTTGGAACACAATTTATTGCTCATAATCATATCAATTGTGGTCACACGACTTTGACATTTGAGTATTATAGTCTACTTTATTCTCGCCTATTCGTCATCGTTCGGGTAGTAGAATTTTCCAGTTGTCTGAGACAGGTGTTGAATCATTCCTATTACATGTATTTGCAGTTGATTCGATAAACAAAGCTTCTGTTGTCAATCTCTCCCTCACTCCACCCTGTGACATTAGATTTTAAAACTGTCATCCTATCCCATCATCCTATTGTATGGTTGTGTGTAACTGCATGTAGTGCTACAGCTGAACTATTTTCTAGATTTCTTATCTTATTTGGGTCAACCAATCTAGATTTAGCTAGGTTTTTATGTTCGGCTAGTCTGACTGCCCCTGTTCTACTAGTTTGACCTATGTATTTGACCTGACAATCATTCCAGCAGGCAGGGTATTAGATAAACTAAATTGTTTTGTTTCAAATGCTCCACAGGACCGATCCTTTAACCGACAAAGCTTGTTTCTAATTGAGTTTGAATGGGGTTGAATGCCAGCCACTTTTATTCCTGCCTTGTTAAGAATTCTGCGTAAGGCTTCCGAGGTTCCTTCCTTGTATGGAATTACTGTTGATGATTTAGATTCCTTATTGTTGGTGTCGTCATTAATATTATTATTATCACTATGATTATTACCATTATTATTATCATTATTATTGTTATCATTATTATTATTAACTATCACTATTATCATTATTTATTTTATTTTTACATTTATTTGCATATTTCTTGACTAATTTATACGGGTAATTATTAAGTTTCAAGGCTTCTTTTATGTGTATCACTTCCTGTCTTGGATTTTCCTTCGTAATACTTAGTTTTTGTGCTTTGTCACTTAAACATTTCACTAATCCTATTTTTACTGACATAGGATGGGATGATCAGAAGTCCAAATATCTGTTTGAATGTCTGAGTTTTCTGTAAACACTAGTGTTTAACTTCCCATCTTCTTTCCTTTTCACGTTGCAATCTAACATTGAAAGTTCCCCTTCGTGACTTTCCAATTCATAAGTGAATTGAATTGCCTCTATCTTCGAGTTTATTTGTTCGAAAAATCTATCTATATTTTGTGTTCTGAGTACAGTGAATGTGTCATCTACATACCTCCATCATAATTTTGGGGTGGGGGTGAACGTTTCAATCGCAATCTTTTCCCACCTATCCATGAATATATCTGCTGCAACCGGGGATATTGGTGATCCCATGGAAACTCCCTCAGTTTGTTTGTATATTTTCCCTTGGAATTTAAATACTGTAGAAGTTAGGCAAAGCTGCACTCCCAGTATTATGTCCTCAAGTGGCACTTTTGTCCGTTTGAGTTCGAGTTCTTGGTCAGAAATGAGTTCGTTTCTGACCGCCTCTATAGCCATATTTATTGGTATACGTGTATATAAACTGACAATGTCAAAACCGACCATTTTTTCTTCATTATCTAATTTTAAATTATCTAATCTGTGTTTTAGTTCATAAGAATTAGTTAGTCTAGATTTCGAGTGGATTATTAGGGGATTAAATACCATGGCTAAATATTTAGATAATTCATAAGTAGGTGAATTTCTAAAATCAACTACATCAACAAAAGGATATTGTTTTTCTTTCACTGGGAAATACAAAAAAACCTTTATTATAATGAACAATAAGAGTGATTGTAAAATAATGACGATGATATCGTGTAAAATTGCTGTCACCATAAATTACAAATAAGAGAAGATGAAACAGTCAATTCTTTCGCTAATTACAATAGCAGCTTACATAATTTTTACGGTTAACATAAAAATACGCGCAGGTCAAATAAGGTATCGTCGAGTTATTTTTATACGAAGGGGCAGAGGGGTGGGGTGGGGGGCGGGTTGGAGAGGTGTGAAACCGTTTGACTGTTGACAGACAGTCAGTCTGAATTTAAACCATCCCTCACATACAAGTTGTTCAGGTGTCTATCGACTACAAATTAGTAGCCAATATTTACAACGATATCAAGTTGTACTGAAATCTACTCAAGTGAACAATTCAATTGCAATTTTCACGGGAGTCTCCTCCAAATATAGACGAAAAAGTGAGTAAATGCTGATTAGTCAACTCTGACAATTCAGTGTTGTCAGTGAAGTCTTTTCGAATTATACGTGAAACAAAAAACTTACAGGTTTATGCATAGAACATTGTGGACACATAAAAAATTATATTTCTCTCTCTCTCTCTTAATTGTCTTTTATTTTTCTTGAAAATGTGTTGCAATCAACTAGCTGTGCAGAACATTAGGAAGTCAACTGGTTAAATGTCACAAGTGAGTCGATCAATGAGGTGTACACAGGCACACACACACACACACAAACACACACATTCACTGAAAATTTTTCTGACAAACATTTCCACTAGGATAACTAACTGAGGAGAAATCCCTTACAACATTCAAATCTCAGTCTCCTGCATATTTAAACACCACAGTAGGGATAGAAAGACTGGAACTTCTCACAAACAGAAACACACACAAGTGTGCACAGAAATGCATCATTTCACGTTAACACGCTCAGTAGACTTGAACTATAGTGTTATTTAGCCAATGAAGCCAAAAGAACTATCCAAGATATATCAAAGAACCAATTTTCAAAAGTTCACTTTCACCAAAACTGTAGATACACAAGTTCTAATATACAGTCATAATTCTAATCTAGTACAGTTAAGAGTAAACTGTGTGACTTTTATTAATAATTGTCTCCTCTGGCTTCATAATGAAGATCAAATATCTAAGGAGCATTTTTAGCAACAAGACACTCAGGGAGTGAAACAATCAAGAAGCGCTATCGCCCAAACGATAAATATTCCGACGAAAATGGCCATCACCCGAGTGGAAGATGGAGGGGAAATGAATTAGTTGAGCCTGACTCCACGTATGACACAGAGGAGGTAAGAGACTGTTGGATATCTTTGCGTTAACTAAAGAGGGGAACAAACACCCTTCCAATTGAACTCAATTATGAATAATCATCAGTTCATGTGTATTACTCAATGTCATCTTACTAAAAGTTAGTTTTTAACTCCAACCGGAACATTTCGTTCTGATTCCTAGAGTCGTAACATTGTTTTTTTACGCAATAAATTAGATTTCAGTCAAGTTGAATATAACTCATAACTTATTCTTTAACAGGACGTCTTAAAGAAATACCATTGTACTGCAATTACACAAACAATAACGCATCTTCTTTCATAACAGTGTTTTATTTGCTACAGTTATTTCACTTTATTTGTTTCGTTTTGTTCCTTTTTTTGTTCTTTTTCTCTCTCCCTTTAAGCTCAATACAAACCGGGTACTTTGAAAGCAGCTCATGCGTTCTACTTTCTTGCATTATTTGCCTTCATAGCTGCACTTATACTACACTTATTATATGTTTTAAAATTCGAAATGCAGATATTCAAGTATATTTATCTTGGATTAATTGTGACTGGACGTAAGTTGGGTTTTTTTCCCCCATTAAAACGTGTGCCTAGAAACTTTTCGTTTACATGATTTGATTGAATGATTGTACAAATACTTGGCGCCAAGTTTGAAGTAGACATGTGTATTGGTTTAGAGTGAGTTGTTTATTACAATTTCGCTGAAAGTGAAAGCCTAATATTCAGTTAGGTGTACGTAGTGCCTCATCAATAGGAGCAGATCTCTTCGTCTAACACACCTCCATACCCAAGCAGGCGGGTAGGGGAGCGGGGGAAAACACACCTTAGAAGAGAAAATAACGAAAATACCTGAACAAATCCCCAATGAAGCATTGAAACAAAGTGAATTTTCCATGTGCATGGTCGGCGAGCGTCTTAACCGTTGTGCCACCGATGCCAACAGAAAACTTTTGATGAAGTAGTATGACAGAGACCGAACCACAAAAATATTCAGTGCAGCAGAGGTACATTGTTCTTTTTTTTTCACAACAAAGACGACAGACATGATAAGGAGGTGTTTACGTGCAATTCAATATACACATGTAGGCGAATTATGTACACCTCATATTGAAGTCGTCACTAGCCTAGATAGATCTACAGTGTCGTGCTGCTTCTGACCCGTGTAATGTGTTTCACTTCGATACAGGTTCATTTCCACTCTTTGACGTCGAATCTATCTCTCGGCTATTTGATTTATTTATGCTGATCAACTTTTAATTAGTACTACTAATCATGATAATAACTTGCTCTATTCTGAAACAGTGCTTATGATACGGTGTGGAGTCTTCGGCATTTTATACAGCACTGCACCTAATTTACTCGACAACGACAAGAACAACAACAACAACAGAAGAACTACACTACAGGACACATTTCACTAAAAGTTATTACAACGGCAACTTTTGGCATTAGCTGAAACAGCAGTGTGAAAAGATGTCATGTTTAGCACTATGCTTATCACTTAGAATGTGGCTGGGCCAATTAGGGGATCGGTGACATTCGCTACTTAGTTTTACGAGTGAGCATACATTCCTTTATCATGACTTCTTGTGTTACCTGATGAGATGCAAGAGTGAGGAGCGGGGGTGGGTGGGAAGAGTCGTGAATAGACGGGGATGTTGAGAGACAGAGAGACAATATAGACTGTTCAGGTGTCTGTCGACTACAGGTGGCAACGAGCTGACTGAGCAGTGGCACACAACTCAGCCTAGGTAGAGCAGCCTCATTTCTGTAATAATCAGGTTCCTTTTTGTTATCTTGCATCGGTAACTGGCATGATTAACTACTTCTATTTGTCTGCTTTTTTTTCTAGTATTTTGTGCAATACTCAGTGTTATTCTGTACTATCAAGCATTCTCCAAATATCGTACAGCTAAACCGGAGTCGAATTCATGGCTGATTGCAGCTATAATGGCCTCCTTCCAGTTGAGTGTGTTCGTATTTATGTATCACTTGAAGTAGACATACGGCTGAGTGACTGAATTATTGACTGATTGACTGATGTTACATTCACTAAGTCACTCACTCGCTCAATTCATTCATTCATTCATTCATTCATTCGTTCGTTCACTTATCAAACAATATGAACAAAATCCATGACAGTGATAATAGTCATAAACACATCTGAGCAGAATTCACCTTATTTTCTTAATTGTGTCATTTGTTTAAATTAACAAGACAGTTTTGTTTTTGTTTATTTTGTTTCGTTTTTTTTGTTTTTTTGACAAATATACTTTAAATGATTCTCCATTGTTCTGTGTTCTTTGAAGATTGTATAATGTTGAACATCTTTGAGTTTTCGTACATTAGGAAGTTGAACAGGGAATATCCTTTTCATTATTATAAAGGTTTTTGTATTTCCCAATGAAGGAAAAACAAAACGATTTTATTTTTACTGATGTTTCACTGTTTAATGCTGCTGCTAATAGCTGCTTTATCAAAGTCTTATTAAACCGTAATTTACAAAATCTCAGCATACATATAACGAAGAGTTAAGGGGTGAGAAAATAGACAAGTTAGGTCAAGTTAAAAGGATATATTGAAAGTCAAAATAACAATGAAGATCGTTCAAACCAAATATCAAAGGTAATAGTACGTCTGTTATGATATCAAAATAAAGTTTACTAACTTGATCATCGTTCGTCAGTCTGGGGGCATTTTTCGTTGTCAAGTTGGTCAATCGGTAAAGATAACAAAACCAAGTGTAGATTGTCGGAATTGATTAGTGTGTAAAATTGTAAAAGCAATGTGTGTTTACATAGTGAACTTGCTTCTCACATTCGTGTTGATTTTGTCACTTCGTTGGGGAGGGGAGGGAGGTGTTGCAACCAGGTCAGATTCTGTTTTAGTCCATCATTCCTATTCAGGCCATTTGGATTCCACTTGATATGAAGTGCTTCTGATGGCATCAGATGTTCTATTTGATTTCTGAAGTTTTTCTGGATGACGATTTCAATATTGTCAAAATTTATTTTGTGGACTGATTCTATAACGTGTAGACCTATGGCTGATGATTTCTCAAGTTTTTCTAGTTCGACTGGATTTCTCGGTGATCGAACAGATGCTCTACGGTGTTTATTTCTTCTGATTTTGATTTCTTGAGATGTTTTCCCGAGGTATGTCGCATCACATTCCAAGCATTTCATTACATATATATATATATATATATATATATATATATATATATATATAACCCTTTGTTATATATATGCTGAGATTTTGTAAATTCCTGTTTAATAATACTTTGATAAAGCTATTAGCAGCATTAAATAGCGAAACGTCAGTAAAAACAATATCGTTTTGTTTTTCATTTATTGGGAAATACAAAAACAACCTTTATTATAATGAATATCACATACCCAATGCCCAAATTTTTTCAAACTGTTAAAAGTGAACTTCGTTAGGACATATAGAACACAAGATTGATGTTAAGCACGCTTTCAAAGTCACTTACCACATACCAACAAATCCTAATTTCGCCTTTAGAGTTCGATTGCTAAATATTGTTAAGGCCGTTGACACCCACATCAAGAAGCCTAAATTATGTATCCAAAAGAAGGCGGCTCAGACGTTGTCGTTACCTTAATTATCTAGCTTTGAATGATCCTCAATTTTCTGTAGAAATTTTCCTAATTTTAGTTGACATTCTACTTGCTATTATATATTTATTATTATTATAATTTATGCATCTTTCGTGAACTGCTATCCCACTGTGATCTCACTTTACAAGTTGATCTTATTTAAAAAAGAACACTAATATTGTTATTGACTACTATTCTAGACTATTCTATGTATATAGACATGTATGTGTATAATTGTAAAGCCAGAATAGGAGGAAATTATCGAAAGGGGGATATTCTTTGCTCAATTATTTTTTGTATTAGGAAGTTATATTATTATAATTATATTGTTTCCTTTAATTCCTAAAGGAACATAGGGCTACAGCCACGCGTCTATATTGCCTTCGGTTTTCTGCCAACTTTTTCACTCCGCTCCAAGTCTGACCACATGCTTTTATTTCCTCTTCACATGACCTCCTCCAAGTCACCCTCACGCTAACGACTAACTCGCCGCCTGCTTCCCTTTCGGGTTCCACTCGAGCGATGGTTTGTCTAATGATGTCACTCGATGGTTTCCTCAGAGTATGGCCAGCCAATCCATCTCCATTTCTTCCTGCTTATTTGTTGCACAATCAGTTCCTGGTTGGTTCGCTCATTGACAGAGATCCCTGTTACTGATCTTTACTGACCGACCATCTGATCTTGAGTATTGAGCGAAGACAGCTGTTAATGAAGGTCTGAAGTTTGTTTGAGATGCTCTTTATGACGCGGAGTGCAAGTCTCTGATCCGTCGAGTGAGTAGCACTGACTGACTACTTCACATTGGAGTTGAAAATCCGGATCTTATTTTCATTTTCATGCTGAGTGATGTTGACCTCCACACAGACTAGATGTGAGTAATGAAAGCTTGTGTTGCTTTCCCGATCCTCACTGCTTTGATATCCTCGTCAGTTCCGCTGGCCTGTAGTTGAAACGATGCTTCCCAGTTAGGTATGTGGGTAGGTGGTAAAGGAGGTTGTTTCTTTCAGGTTCCTCCCATTTATCCTGACTGACTGTTGTTGTTGTGGCTGTTGGTGTTGGTGTTCGTGTTCGTGTTGGCCAGGAATCTTCATCACCTACCTCTGTTTTCTCTATGTTCACCTGAAGTCCTTCCTATCTTCTCTGGATGCTCCTTCTATCTCCAACTTGTTGCTTTTCATCACTTGCATATCTTCCAGTTTGTGGGAAATCAGACATATGTCATCATCGGCGAAGTCCAGATCCTCCAAGTCTCTTTTTGTGTGGGTTCATCTTATGCCTGTTTCCTTGTTTACCATCACTGTCTGTCACATTATCCAATCTACTGCAATCAGGAAGACCATTGGCGATAATAGAAAGCCTTGCCTCACTCGTATTAGGAGGAAGTTATCATGTGATAATAATATTAATGTCTTTATGCTGAACAATGTTTATATAATACACAGAATTGTCGGCGGAGATTTCAGTCCAGTATATTCAAATAACAGACTTGACTGACAGTAGATCGTGTGATACAGTTCTGTCTGACCTTGAGCACAAACTACTACTCCATCCTTATGATATATCTTCGTCTTTCTCGCCTTTGAGGAATACACAACGACATTTTGTTGAATACCAATGACTACTATAAACAATTCAGGAGTACATTCCACTGAAACAAGGATACCACCGCTGAAGACAAGGTCATCTGATATATATCGGGACAAACTGCCACCCAGTTAGATAATTCTTTTTTTTCATGCTTAGTAGAAATTTACGAATCAGCAGGTTATAAACGTTTAAAATACTCGCCAGAATAAACAATACTATTAAAGGTCATAATTTAATAGATTTAAACAAAGTGAATAAGAGGGTATTATAATATATGCCAATATATTGATGCAGGTTAGCTTCACTGGCCCTAGTTTTAAGCAGGCCGCCGTTCCATGCTAAGCCATGTGAGTTTCATATCTACCTTCCAGAATCATATTATCAGGATGCCCTTATATCTCTCTCTCACCGGGATGCCGTTGTACATACTGTCAAGCTGCACAATAATATTACGCAATACATTTTAGAAAAAAAAATCACGATAACCTTTATACGAAACATTTATGAAATGTTTGTGGATATAACATTGTTTGAATATAGTTCATTTAAAGCGGTTTACTACCTCTGTTTTTCTAACATAAATTGAATTATGTCTCCATTTCGATTGAAATTAACCAATATGTCGCTAGGTGGTTATTCAAATACATTAGAATATATATATATATATATTCTTTCCTCTCTCTCTTTCCTCCGAATGTGAAATGCTAAAAGTTTCCATTGTGTTTGATTATTATTGTTCGGAATAGTGGTTAATATTGCATATTTATATATGTATATATTTTTAGTGTATGAGTATACTGATCGATTGATTTTTGTTTAAACTTAACTCTGTGTGGTCAAGTATGTTAAAATTGTTGTTGTAGATATATTTAATAATGTCTTTGCCATGTAAGCAGCTGACGAGAAGGCAACGAAATAAAAAAAAGATGTTACCATTTTATTCTGCTAAAACTGTAGTTCTTGCTTTGTTCAGATAAAGGATAATTATGAGTGAACCTGTATTCGCATATATTTGTTCTTTACTGCATTCGATGGATAGTCTGGCAACATGTCAGTGAATTGCAGTCGACATTTCAAAGAAGAGAATTTTCTCTATTAATGAAATTTGCTTCAAAAGCTTCACGATCGTGTTTATATCTACAAAGATCCACAGAGTAGAAGTCTGTGCTGAAGTGATACGGTTGGTGTAGAGCTGAGGTGATCATACTACTCATATAAAGCTACTCAGAAGTAATGTTTACAAATAAACAGTTTGTGCTTTTCAGAAGTTGATCTGTAAGGATTAGATTTGTTTTCTTTTTGGAGTATGCCCACAGATTGATATCACTTAAAGAACCATTGAAAACCAGAGGGTAATGGACAGCTATTTCACCTCAGTATGGGTCTTATCGGGAGTATGCATCCGCTGAGTTTCGAATCAAGGACCTTCCGGGTGACAAGCCAAGCTCCTATACTATTCAGCCACTGAGACCCAATTCGATGGCAAATGATTTCTAACTTCTACCGATTGATGACATATATCTCGCGAACACCATCTTCAGTGTCATTGGCAGGAAATCCATCCTCACTCCTCGACACCGGAAAGGTGCATTCAGTCAGGAGTGAGGATGGATTGGCTGGTGGTCATGCTAAAATCATGAATTACCATAATATTATTATTACACTGAATTGACTCGACAACAGGAGAAACAAAAATAAATATACAAGATGGAAAATGGCGGTGTTTTGGTATTCACAGTGGACAATAAAGGCAAAAATGTTCAAAAAGTGTAAAATAATAATAATGCTGCTAATAATGTTAACAGATAAGTATATAATATAATTGACATAGAGTCACCAGTGATCAAAAAAGTAGGAGAGAGTGTAAAAGATCCACCTATTTCGTTAATTACATTGCAAGTTATAAGTTTCATGGTTAACACTATCTCCGTCGCATAGGAGGTGGGTGAGCCAAGTAAGGTATCGTTGAGTCTCTCTACTTAGTTGTACGACTGAGCATATATTATCTTTTATCATGACTTCTAGTGTTACCTGATGAGATGCAAGAGTGGGGAAGGGGGAGAGTTGTGAGCAGACATGGAT